ATATCTCTCATCCATGACCTGGTTTGGTTAATACTCTGTTACGGAACGTAATGGTTTCAATTTATAATACCTCTTTTGAATAATATCATTACATTGGTCTCTTCCGCAAATTGGCTGTAATAATTTCATTTCACACTTTTATGAGCACATAAAGATTTTATATTCTAGAACATAAAATGAATTGATTATGCACTTTGAGTTATAGTTTTGAGAGCAAAATTACGATGATGTAAATTGACTCGCTCTCGTCGATACGGCAAATTTTTTTTAGAAATTGAGTTTGTCATAAAACGTGTATTTCTTTATTGTGTTCTATATTCTATATTTAATACTTTTTTTGATTAATGAAAATCTTGCGTTGAATTTTATAACGCATACATGGTAATTCTTTAAGAAATACATAAGCTGCAGTGCAGTTTATATAATATATTTTAGTTCTTCCAAGCCACTAGATGTAAAAATGATTTCTAAATTTATTTATATCAAAAGTAAATTCATTCTTATTCATACGATTCATTGCTACAATCCTCTGACCAATTAATTCGATGTACTTCCCTTAAACTTTGAGGCCAATTTGCCGACAAAATAGATCGTAAATAGCGTTATTATGGCAACGCTATATTACGGTACTCTCTTCATATAAATTAGTAGTGAAAACTGTCAAAATGCTATATATTTGCTTTTTGTTCAGGCGTTTTACACATGAAAACTCAGGCTTATAGAGCAAAAACTGTAGGGAAAAGTCCCCAAGTGGCGGACACCTAAGGTTATTTATAAATTAATCAAAAAATATTTTACGAAATGTTTATTGAATTTATGTTATTTGATTTATATTAGATAACAAAGTTAGAAATCAAACTAAATTAAAAAAACGCAATCTTTGCTAAAAACTAAATAATACCATCAATCAAACTTTGCTATAAAAATATGATTTTAAACAGTGGCACCTAGTACCGGACATTTCAAAATAATCTGCATTGATTACATATGTAGCCATCTCCACGCTCTGAAATGTCTGCACATGTGTCTTTGGCGAATATTCTTAGATATTGCAAAAAAGTCACTATTCATCTATTCTTTTGGCTGGGCCACACCGATGCTCTCAGCTGGTGCATTCATAAGCTTTTCATTTTTTGACTAGGAAATACGAAAAATGTGGGTATGTAGTGACCGTTAGCACTCATACAGAATAAAATTAAATAATTGGAATAAATTTCAATTGCTTAAATAATACGTGTTAAATAGAGTGTCCGGTTCTTGGTGCCGTCCGGCGTTACGGCACTTTCCCCTGTGTAAACTGTGATTTTTTTTATTTTTTAAATATATCAAAATGCGCAGTAATAACATCATTTCGGACACTAGCAATTTTAACATGTAGTTTCATATGCATAAATTTAAATATTTTTCATTTTATTTTGGCAACCTATATTATGATATTGTGCCAATATAAATTCAAATAAACTACTATATTTTAGCATATAAATTCGACTCCTGTATTTACAGTGGAGCAGCGCCGCCTTGCTTGAAGCGCGAAATATGCATCTGTTTTTGTCTGCCGCAGCAGTTGGTTTATCGTCGGCGGTTTTATTTTTCTGTTGTTTTCCCGCCGCCCGTGTTATAATATATTTTGTGATTTTCGCCAGACGCCAGAATGTTTGATGCCAGAATGCTATGACTATGTCGATGCAAAAAGAATGTGAAATACTCTCAAAGGAAAGGACACATATGTTTGCTGTTGGATTTTTTGTGCTGCTGTAATGCTAGAAACGTGATATGGCATTTTCTTTAAAGTAATTTGCTGCAACATCCGTAAATAACAATTAAATAAAAAAAAAATTTGAAATATTTTAAATTCATATACAACACAAAAGGCTGAGAACATAATTCGAAAAAAGCAATGAATAACTTTGTTTATTAGCAATATGCACTATAGAAGTTTGAAAATTTTAAATTTCCAGAAGACCTATGTTGAGTCATAGCATTCCTATATTATTTATTTTACAACATTGCAATGCTCATTTGAAAAAACAATGGCACGGTATAATCATATGCAAAATACGTTGTAAGATGTTATATACTAAAACTATTACAGAAAATTTGGATCCTTCTGTATATTTGTGCGAACTCATACGTTGTTCAATGCTATGGTTTTATTTAAAAGTCTCAACCTAATATTTGCTTTCCTCATTTTTTTATTTTCCTAGTGTAACGATATCAGCCTTAGTATTTCAGAGCCCTATATATCTTCTGTTTTATGAGATAGGAAGGAGCTCTGCGGCCACTACGTCGGAATTTCGGATATAAGCCCCTCGAGTACAGCCTTTTGACTATAGGATCATGATTTCTTTTTATTTCAGTAACAAAATCAGAGAAAGTGCTACTAATACTCTAAATAGCATTGCATTAAGGAATTTTATGATTACTGTTGCACACAATGCCTATGAGTCGCCTGAGAATTATTTGAACTTTATATGCAATATATAAATAATAATGATTAAACAGAAAATGAAAATTTAAACAAGTATATCAAATTATAGACAGTTATGGAGTAAATTACACTAATTACTACATAGTTAAACAACTTGCACATGCTAGGGTTCACTCACTCATATGGCAATTATACTGCAAAAACCAAACTAACCATATCAAAACAAATAACACATATCAAACAAATAAGTATCTCTATGTTTTTAGCCAATTTCCAAAAACTTGTCACTTCATCCTTTGTACCCTATAACAATGTAAACAAGAACACTAATTTATTTTAAATTTTTGTCATAAGAATTTATTATCAGTATTATTCAATATGCTACTTAATCCAACGTGCTTAAAAGTAATTCGAAGATTTGACCAAAATTATCTTATTTGTTTGTTAATTATTCCTCTTCCAAACTGTTTATTTGCATACACGAGAAAGAGTAAATATTGTTCATTTCCAGGCAGGAAAATTTACTGAAAATTCTGGAGCCTAATTCAATTTAAAATACAGTATGCGTAGGAGATTTTTATTTGCATTTATGTTAATTCGTAACAGCTTCATTAAATAAGCTCGAGACTTCGTTAAAATTATTCGCTCGACTGAATTTTGATGCCATTAAACTTGCATATTTTACATTACTTCAGAGTCGCTAAGAACGCCTGAAATTAAGTGACACATGTAAATAATAAAATAATTTATAGAATGAGATAATTTTTTTATACGTTGATTTGAAAGTTGGATTTCTGTCGAGATATAAAAAATAAGCTTATTTTAGTTTTAGGTATACTCTGATGCGTACAGTCTTACAAAGAAATTCATCGTTTATTGTGTCTACGCGGGCATTTTTATGTATAAGCCAATTTAATACATATTTCGAGTCATTCAACATATTTTTTAATAGTTTATTTTGACATCTTTGAATTTTTATCACGTTTGATGTGGAAGCGGTTTCCCATAGTTATATCCCGTATGTCCAAATTGGCTTAATAGAAACTTTGTATAAGATAATATAATTGTTAATTGAAATTTTTATGTGATGGTACCAACAGTGAAATTAATAATTAAATGATTTTAATGATCTGTAGTAACTCTTTATGCAAATTAATTTCAATATTGAAATTGATAATTTGATTAGAAGTTTTTACTTAATTATGCAACTGTAAAATAATGTAATACTGTCATAAGTTGTGAGTCAAGTTTATAATTGCCGAGGAAGTATTTTATATTCTTTATGATTTAATTATTATTTTCAAGGAAGTATTTCAACTTCAATAATATAGTTTAATATTTATGTGTTCTATCCTGAATACAAGTAGAATATTTTCCGTTGTCGGGCAGTAGCAATTTTCTCTCCGCTCACGGGATACTTTAATGGCTTGAAACTATGCGGGAACAAGTGTTTTGCAATATCAAATTATATGTGTTTTACATAAAGCGAATGCAAAGTTATAAATTCATGGAGATTCAGTATACCTCAATTAAATTTCATGAAATTCCTACTTTGTCTTGCGGTTTCTCGTGGATACTTGTATATTAATTTAGAAACGTTTGATATTAAATTGTTAATGTAATTAAAAAGTAATAGATGTTGCGGTAGATATGACTGAGCTTTGAAGATTCAAAAGCTCATAATATTAGAAACTCATGACTTGAACATAACAGAAATGTTTCCTGGTGTCGTTTCAAAAAGTCGAAATTGGGGTCACATGGCAAAATCTCCGATCTAGTAATTCTTCTCCAATTTTTCTGACACTTTTTACCAAGTGACTATTGAGTTTCAATTTAATGGTTTATTGATTTTTTTTAATTCAGAATTTTATCTATCTAAACTTTGTTTTGAGAATATGTGCACCGAATGTATCCAGCGCATTACAATGGCCAACAGGCGTTCTACACTTAATACACGCATCCGTGATCATAAACAATATCCGATTCTTGAACAAAAACTTCCGTCGTTAGACCTACTGTTTTCAAATAACAAAAGACGTCTAATACGAATTTCTACGCAATCATATATATTCGTATTTCTGAGCCCACCATGACCATTGTCCGATCTGCACTTATCTTTTGTCTCGGCGACCGAGATTGCGGAAATCTGGAAATTGACGTCAGACGACGGTTGACAAGGAATTTATTTTGCTTTATTTTTGGAATGTATGTGGTGCTTTATAAATGGTCCTAGGATTTTATTTCTTTCTAGAAGATAATAAAACACAAAAATCCTTATTAAAAATATTGGGTTTTGTGCAACATTTGATTGATAAAATGGTATGGTCAGAATAATATTATATATATATATATATATACATATATTCACTTCTTTTATATTCATCAAATATCTTCACCGTCTCGATCCATATATCTCCTCAAAGGAGTTATCTTATTGTGCTGCCGTTGTATTACTCAATATAATTTATATACGCTCCATTTTCCAGTGTCTCAGACCCATACATAAACCATGTGTGTGCATTTTGTTGAAAGAGTGCATTCTTTTCATATTTTCTTTTGTATTCCCTTGCAGATATTCAAGAATTCTACGAATTGACACTGCTGGATGACAGCAAGTCCGTGCAGCAGAAAACTGCGGAGACAATCCGAATAGCAGACAAATGGGAAGGCAGCGATGGACGGGACAGACTTGAGGTGAGATAATAATAATACTAAGACTTAAAATAACTATTTATAATTATTAATAAACAATAACAATAAGAAATAGAACACAAAAAATTAAAGACCGCAATATACCTAATACTCTCTTTGAAAACAATCAGGCCTTTGACCCTCCACACTTGAAAAATGACATAGCTGGCGGGTGTTGTTCTAGTAAGGAGGAGGTAATTAGGAACTGACACTATAAATTCTTATTTTTTATTAACTCTCCGTAGGGTAAGTTATAGTAACGTTTTAGGGTTTCTGAACATTTTGGCTACCTCAGCGAAAATGGATGTGTGTGTGTATCCGCAATTTTTTGTCTACGTTTTCGCGATCAAAGAATTTGAATGGTTCAAAAAACATTCGTTTCCTATTGCTAAGGAGATGTGCTGAATAGTTTTTGGCAAAGACAAAGTTTTTTTCATAGTATTTGCGAATAATGGAAAAAATTAGAATTTTGTACTATTGACCTGGAATAAAAAAATCGCAGATGTCGGATCGATTGCGACTTAACATCTGGACCAATTTTCAGCTCAATGCGAATTAATGCTAACTTGAATTCTATTTTGACTGGAATATCAAAATGTACTGCACACCAAAATACAATACTCTATGAGCTATTTGGTTCAATTTGGTTCACACACACATATGAAACTTTTGTGCTAAATTTCAGTATATCAATAAATGTCACTCTAATGAGTGATGCTTCAGTTCTCCAAAGATGTAGTAACTTGAATATTATCTTTTGGAATATTCATTTTCGGCCTTCTCGAAACAGGTACCTTCAAAAATTAAGCAACTATACATTTTGAATGATCTTCCAGTTATAGAAAATGCTGAACACTTTTTGGCTTTATTTTACCATTTATAAAATTTATAATTAGATCTTTGTGTAAGGTCTTATTGCTGACAAACCAAGGAGCATTAGTGATCAGTCTCAAAATTTTAGGCTGCATTAAAACAATGTTTGATTTGCTCGCACAACTTCACAGTTGGATGCCTTAAATACACATAGATTATATCACAATTCTCGATTGTTAATTAATAGTTTATCATCAAGATAAACTGTTAATTGACTTACGCGCCAGAAGCCAGTATAGTTCAGCATATTGTAATTGAAACCTACTTGTGTCTATTTTAAATTCACTAACCTTGGACAGGGGGTATGGCTTTTCAACATGCATTTTCCATTCTTAAAATTTTACTTATTATCCTATTAGGATAGAAGTAAAGATTATCGTTTATTAAAGAAATAGCTACTATTGACCTTTATAAGTTCTTACAAAGACAGCAGAAGAGGCAAAGTAATTTAATTTCGAAGCCGTATACTCCAACATTGAATTAATATCTTAATTGTTTTAGAAACCTTAACCCCTGCAACTCTTACTTATATTCGCGTAAAAAAATTATGCGCGGATTAAAAAGACGAAATGAGATAGCTCTTCATGAGTTTTGAGCTTGTGTTATTTATAGTCCGAGAGGGTAATTTAGTACATAATCTAGAACATCAAGCGGACCAAAGTTGGGCGACTGTTATAAATGGGATTGTACAAAGCATTTCCAAGCCTACTTATCCCATAAATCGTAGAACACACAGAATCCCAAAACATCTACAGAACTGTCAAAGGTTTATTCTATTGTTCATCCATAACTTTGGTTTCTAATTAGCCAGTTAAATTTATAGGAAAATATAATTATCAGCATTAAAATCATTAGTGCTTACTTCATTAAGAATTTAATAATTTGGGCACTGTAATTTTGGTTTCTATTATGAAATTTTATTTTATCTACCTTGATGAGAAGACAACCGATATCTAAATCTAGCCAATATTTTTAACCTTTCGAAAAAGTTAGTAATTATTTGGACCTTTAAATACAAGCCACAATTTATTGTAATTATATAAATTAGTTAACAATATTCAAGCATTTTTAATTTTGCTTAGTTACAAAAAATTTTGAAATATTTAAAAATTAATTTAATTTAATACTTATTTTTGAATAGATTGTAGTTCAATTTTGTACTATTCCAGTAATAATTATATATATACTAATTAATGATTCTTGATTACACTTTTGAACTTATATACATAACAAAGCGAAATCAAAGCTCAACTCCATCATTTACTCGAGCTAGCATAACAAACACATCATTATGAAATCCGAATATCAACATTTGTCTTAAACTTGGTTCATACATAACAATATAGGGGTTAAATATGCCTAATTGTGTTGCCTATATCAATTTCCATAAAACATTTATTTTCGTGCCCCTTTGCCAGATCGTTATATTTGTTTGCGTATTCATGTCTGGTTGTTTTGTATACAATTAATCTTCGAGTCCCACGAACCGTATTATTGCACGAGTAAGCAATCTTCAGAAATACATATTTGCTCAAAAGTAATTGTCAAAAGCATTTTAGTTGTATTGATTTATTAAAGACGATGCTTTACCTTTGTCTTATTTGTGGTGGAAACTTTTATGCCATGATTTTTGTTCTGAATCATCAAATACGACCATATCCGAGGTAACGTCAAAACAACTGAAATTATTTCAGAGAGTTTGCAACGTTTTCCAGAAGTGCCAAAGAAAGAAAGTGGGTAAATCATAAATACGTATTACGGGCTCGAACTAGATTC